AAAAAAACTGTCAACAAAGAATTTTTTATATAGCAAAACTATCCTTCAACAATGGAGGAGAATCCAAGACATTCTCAGATAAACAAAAACTGGGAGAATTCATCATTAGCAGAGTGGCCTACAAGAAATAATAAAGGGTATCCTTCAGATTGAAATGAAAGGACACTAGAGAGTAACTTAAAGCCACATGAAGAAATAAAGAGCACCAGTAAAGGTAACTGCATAAGTTATGTAAAAGACAGTATAAGTGTATTTTTTGTTTGTAACTTTTCTCTACCTGACTTAAGACAACTGCATAAAGCAATAGCTATAAATTTGTGTTGATAGACATTATATGAAGATGCAATTTGTATGATAATAATAACACAAAGTTCCCCAGCAAGACTTTGCCTCTTTTTTCAACATAGGACATCCTCCTGTCCTCTTCTGTTTGCATCCCAATGACCAGAACTATGTCTGATGGCCACCCTGAGCTGCAATGGAGGATGGGAAATCAACTATATTCACCTAGGCACACTGGCAACCAATCAGAGTCCTGCTAGTAAGGACGCCTTGAGAGCAGATGTTGGCTAGTAACTAGCAGTGCCTGCCATACCCCCTCGGCCTTCAAGCTGAGTCACTGTTGCAGGAGCAAAGCAAGAATCTGTGTAGGGTCTGATTTCAGACTAGCTTTCCATAATTAAACAACCTTTTAACCTACTGGATCAGAATCTCTGGAGATGGAGCCCTGGGACCTGCATTTTTTAAAGCACCAACTGCTTTCCTCCATCACCTGAGGACTTAAGTGTTCTCTCTTCTCCCTTCTCCTAATTACGGTCCACCTGCCATTCCCTTCCCACAGATCACCCATGGCCCAACATTCGTGTGCAGCATCACAGGCTGTGCTGTAAGCCCAGCGGTCCATTTCTCCTTCACCAGCTACAACTTTGGGACCTGCTTCATCTACCAAGCTGGGATGCCCCCATACAAACAAACCCTGGTCATCACCAACAAGGAAGAAACACCGATGAGGTAAGCAGACTTTCCAGAGCCTCCAGATGATTCTGCAGCTACTTGTGGGTCCTACAGACTCCAGCCAGGTGAAGTCCTGCCAAGACAAAAGGGAAGGATTATGAGAAAAAGTCAAACACAGGTAGGCATGAATCCCGGCTCCATCCCCACCACTCATACTAATATTTGGATAGACATGAGGTATTCTGCTAAAAATCCTCTTCTTGAAGTAGAGGGCAGTGCCAAATGACCTAATGGGAGTTTTTATGGCTTTCATTTATTTTCCTCATGTAACATATGTGGAAAGTGAGGTTTGGAGAGTTAAAAAGTGAATTCCTCAGGCCAGTGACCTTGCAGTGAATCGCAGGCCTGTACTGAGCCTGAGCCTTCTGATTCAAATCCAGCCTCTCTGTACCATTCCAGACCTTCTGGACACCCTTCCAGACCTGCTGAGACAGAATCTCCAGAGACCCAAGTTCACACAAAGCTGTCTATATCAATAATGTGGAGAACTTTCTGCAATGACGAAAATGTTATGTATCTACACTATCCATTATGGTGGCCTATAGCTCACATGGCTATGGAGCACTTGAAATGTGACTAGTGCAACTATGGAACTGAATTTTTTTATTTACTTAATTTTAATTAGTTAAAATTTAAATTTAAATAGCCACATGTGTAAAATGCCTACCATCTTGGATAGCACAGGTCTAAGTTCAAATGTCAGCTCTTCCCTAGATATGTGGCCTTGGGCAATTTTTTTGAACTCTCTGTGCCCCTGTCTGTTTGCACAAAATGGGGGATCATAATAGCACCTCCCATTTAGGACTATTAGGAGTATTGGATTAGTTCATCTAGAAACAGTACTTAGAATGGTGCCTGGAACGTAGGAAATGCTTGATTATTGTTAGCTGCTGCTATTGTTGCTGCTGTTATTGCTGTTGTTTTTATAATTGTTATTATCCTGAACATTAAATTATGAGTGTCATGTAATTTTAAATACTAATTAAAACTCTTATCTACCTATACTTTCTTGCATGATTTAATGTCATCTCAGTCTTACCTTGTTTAAGACATGGAGCTCTATGCATTGACCTAGCTAGACTCCTTCTCTAAATACCTGTAAGGCAGACGAGGAGAGGTTGTAATGGAGAGGTCTAGGTGCCTTCCTACCTGCAGGTGGAGTGTGGTCAACATGCTTTTTCAAGATCCCTTCTAGTTGAGCAATTTGTAATAATAATAACTCACCCTTATGGAATATTTCTTCTGTGCCCTGTTTAGTGACTGCTTTAGTCACTTGACCTCATTTAATCCTTACAAAAACCCTGTGAAATAGCTACTACTACCCCATTTTAAATAAGGAAACAGAGACCCAAATGGACTAAGTAACTTTTCCAAAGTCACATGTCTAGTTGGTGATAGAGCCTGGATCCAGCCTCCTGCCTGTCTGACCCTAGAATACGTACTTCTCTCTGCTGTGCTTTGCCACCCAACTCCTTCCGAAAGCACTTCCTTTATGAGAGAGTACAAAATCGTGAGGTACATTATCAAGAAAGAAAGGATCAGGAGCATGAAAATAGCACTGGGCACAGGGTCATGAGCCTTCGAGTTTGAGGCCTAGTTCTTCCGGGATCTCGGGCTGTGATTTGGGGTAAGTAACTTGACTGTGCTTAGGACAGTGTGGGTGGGGTCATTGCTGAGGTCCCTTCCAGCTCTTAAGTGACTTCTATGACTCTAGGTCAGCAGGGTAGGAAGTCCATCAGTACCCAGCTCAGAGAGACAAGAGGACGGCATCTGTCCCTCTAGGTCAAGCTTCCCAGAGCTTACGCACCTTCCTCTTGACTTTCTGCAGCATAGATTGTTTGTACACCAACACCACCCACCTCGAGGTGAACTTCCGTGTTGATGTAGTAAATCCAGAAAAGACACTGGAGGTTCCAATCACCTTTTATCCTCAAGAAAGTATCAACTATCGAGAGCTCGTCACCTTTGAAATCAATGGGCTCTCACAGCAAACAGTCGAAATCAAAGGGAAAGGTACTGAAATGAAGGTAAGACACAGGAGGCCCTTGGGCTTGGTGCCCTCCTTCCTGCCCTTCCCAGCCACCTTTGCCCACCTGAGCCCACACACCCTTCCTCCATCTCCATGTCTCTGCTCCCAGGCTGCTCTATCAGAGGCCAACACAGCCCCACTGAGATGATGTCCCTAATAACACAAAGGGGTCAAATCACACTCAAGTGAATCATGGATCTTATCAATACCAAACTTTACTGTACGTATGAAAGGATACAGGTAATCGCAGGCACTAGAGAAACATTCTTTTTCTGGAGAAGTCCAAGACTATCAGACGCAGCACCCCAAGCATGATCTTTTCCTCTTGCATTAGGGCATGTTTGTTTTCAGGTTTAAAAAGATGACATTTTTAAGCAATGTATGCAGACATAGGTTTCAGTTTTGGAACACCTTTCTTTAACACCCCCACCAATTAACATTCTCCAGCAGCCACAGAGCCCAGGATCACATTTGGTTGAGGACATTCCTTCTATGCAGGTACTCTGGATAGAAAGGAAATGGTCATGTCCCACTGCTAACCCTTTCCAGTGTCTGGTAAATTTTTAAGGTGTTGGTCTGGAAGAAGTATTTGCATTTTTATAGAAGGTTTTGGAAGATTAAAAGCCTTCCAATACTCTCAAGAATGCATGGGCATTTCAGCAACCAAGGGAAAATGGGGTGGGTGTATTTCTGGCAGTTTTCCCATCAATCCATAGGAGCAGCAGAACATTGCCATCTGGTGTGTCTGGACCCAAGCCACAGACAGGGTCTCTTCTGATGCAATCGATTCATTCTTTCATTTAGCCATTTGCTACCCATTGTGTGTTGGGTACTTTGGGTAGGTCCAGAGGTGACTTAAACATGTTCTCAAACTTCCAGGAGCACATGGCTGATGGAGGAGACTGTCTTGCCTTTTTAGACAAAATTGAAACATGTAGGCTGGATTTAAAGACGGGTGGGGGGAGAGGTGCAACTTAGTGGCTGATCAAAGGACAGTGGCCTGCGGGTGCTGCTGATTGTAGGTCAGTGCCATGCTGGAGGGCAAGGTTCATCCAGGCCTTGGCCTGATCCAGGCCACCATTTCCATCAGAGCCTTAGATAAGGACTTTGTACTGTGTCTACTTGTGTCCACCTCTACTGCCACCACTCTATCCAAACTACCACCATCTCTCAGTCCTTATGCTTTCTCTCTTGCTCTCTTCTAGCCCATTCCCCACAGAAGAGCAAACCAGAGCACTCTCACAAATGCAGGTTGGATTAGGTCAATCCATGCTTTACTGATGTCCCATTTCTCCCAGAATAAAGCCCAATCTCCCTGCCCCCAAAAATGACCTGCAAGGCCTTGCAAGACCTGAGCACCTGTCCAAACTCATCTCCTCAGGTCTCCCCTAGTTCCCAGTCCAGGTCTTGACCAGACCACCCCATCCAGCTCAGGGCCTTGCCGCAGGTTGTCCCTTCCCCCTGAAGTGCTCCCCACCCCTTTGCCCACATTGACTCAAACTGTCTAGGTCACACCCTTCTGTAGCTCTCAGTGTAAGCATGCCACCTTCAGGAAGGCCTCCCTGAGCCCCAAGTCTAGCGTCAGCCTCCTGTAATGTGCTATCAATGCCCTTGAGCTTTTCCTTCACACCTCTCAACCCAGTTTTAATGATGTAATTGGGCAATGAGTAGGTTAGTGGGCATTTTATGCACATAAATGTTCATTGAGTGGGTGAATGCCCATCCGATGGGAAAAAGTTACATCACTGAAAGAGAGTGAACCACCCTCGCCTCACCAGGGGAGACGTATCATGTTTATTGTTTTCATCAACTAATGAATCCTTCTTCCTATTCTCTTTCTTGTCCCACAGGTTTTAGTCCTAGATCCAGCTAATAGGATTGTGAAGTTAGGAGCTGTCCCTCCAGGACAGGTTGTGAAAAAAATGGTTTCCATCATAAACAACAGCCTTGTTCAGCTCATATTTAACCTGTCAGTCATGTTCTCGATTCCAGAACTCCAGGAACCCAAGGTTGGTGCTCAGAGGACTCCCAGGGTCCGCTCCTGCTTCCTGATGATAATAATGACCACGCTAGCAGCACTAACAGCTCACATTTCTCGTGCACCTATAATGTGCCAGACTGTTCTAAGTACTTTCCATGTGCTATCTCTGTTCGTTTTCCCAAAAATAGTACAGGGTTAGTGCTTTTATAATTCCCATTTTACATTTTCATTTGATTTTCATGTCATCCAATGTCACTTGTTTATTTACACCTCCATTATGCAGATGGACCAATTCTCTGTTTCCGCTCATTCCAGGTGTTTCTAATATTTTATATTAGAAACAACATTGTAATATCCAGGTAACTAAACCTTTGTGTGCATCCATAAGTGCTTGCTTAAGACAGATTCCTAGAGGTGGGCTTGCAGGGTCAGGAGAGACAGGTGTTTTATTGCTAGTCTGCCCCCTGAAAGGTTGTCCCACTTTACGCTCCCATCGGCAATGAAAAAAAAGCATGCTCATTGCTAAATCCACTTCCTCAAGTTCCCTGGTGAGAGAGGCCACCGGTCCTGGCTGCCTGCTACCCATCTGACAGGCATCCGAGTTTGGTGGCCCTTTGAAAATGGACCAGGTGTGTTTCATTCCAAGCGTGGACTGTCCATTCCTTCATTCAGTTCATTCTTGCATTTACTCAATAAATACATGCTAGGTGCTGGGAATGCAATGGTAAACATGACATAGTCCTTGGTCTGGTGGAGTTCACAGCCTTTTGGGGTCACACACACATAAACAATCCCAGGACAGCATAGAAACTGCAGAGGCAGGGTGTGAAAGGGTGGCTGGGCTGCTCAGAGGAGGGTGCAGGGGGCTACAGAAGGTCTGACAGTGAAGAGAGGCCTGTGCTGAATTTTACAGGATAAAGAGGTGTCTCCCAGGCAGACAGGTTGGGGAAGAACATTCCTCGTGGGCAAGGGGTCAGTACTTTTGGAAAACTAGCTGTGATTCCATGTGGAAGGAGCACTGTGGACCATCTAGGAATCGCAGGATACAGACAGATGGGCTATGAGAAGCGGCTAAAGCAAGAGACCCTGGGCATCTCATGCAAGACCACACTTTGCCCACCATGCCACCCAGAGAAGGAGGGAAGACTCGTTGCTTCCCTTTCCTCATTAATCCAAATTAAAGTCCCTAGTCCCAGTGGGTCAGAGCCCCTACCAGTCTGGTCATACCAGTTCTGCCTCTTCAGAACCCTGGGCATCTCATGCAAGACCACACTTTGCCCACCATGCCACCCAGAGAAGGAGGGAAGCCTCATTGCTTCCCTTTCCTCATTAATCCGAATTAAAGTCCCTGGTCCCAGTGGGTCAGGGCCCCTACCAGTCTGGTCATACCAGTTCTGCCTCTTCAGGTAGTCAGACTAAAGCTGCCAGAGTGACCTGTGCTGGTGCCACCACCCGGGGCTGGCTGCCGACAAGCTGGCTGCTGACATCACCGTGTTTTGATAAATCTCTAAGATGACTTTCCTATTGTCCCCCACGGCCCATCATCTCACTCCCTGCTCTCACAGGCCACTCAGGGGTGGCTGCTCAGCTCTGTACCAAAGGGAGCTTAAGGATGGAAAGGGAAATGGCTTCCTTACAGATGATTTGGATTTGATTTTTCCCGGGACTAAGGGGAAAGAGAAAGCCATATGAATTTGTGGAGTGGTTCTCAAACTTTAGAATACATGCGTCACCCAGGGTACTTTTGAAAACGCAGGTTCCAAGCTCTCCCATGGAGACTCTGATGTGGTCAGCCTGGGGCGGGGCCCGGGAATCTGCATTTTAGCAGCACACAGGGAAATCTGATGCAGGGAGCACCCCTTGAGAAACACTGGAGCTCTGCGGTTCTCTATCTCCTGTTACTATTTCCTTCACCAGGTGGGGGAAGAAAGCATGAAATGCCCAAAATGAGTTAGGAAAGGGGCAGGAGAGGGAGCTGACATTTATCAAATGCCTATTATGTGCCACACATTGTATACAGATGACCTTACTCCTCATCGTAGAGTAAATCATGGAAAGTTTAAGTAACTTACCAAGGATTATACAGCTTGTAAGAGAGCAGAAGTGAGACTGACCCCTGGGACAGTCCTAGCAGCAAGACCTCAGGGAATTGAGGCCTCAGGAGACTCCCACCCTCAGCTGCTGGGTGTGGGTGTCGTTCTGTCCAGGTCATCACCTTGGTGCCCTTCCAAAACATCGCCCTGAAGCCCAAAGAAGTCTGTAAACTGGAAGTCATCTTTGCCCCAAAGAAGCGTGTCCCTCCCTTCTCCGAGGAGGTGTTCATGGAATACATGGGGCTCCTGCGGCCCCTCTTCCTCCTCACTGGCTGCTGCCAGGCCCTGGAGATCTCCCTGGACCAGGAGCACCTTCCTTTTGGACCAGTCGTGTATCAGACGCAAGCCGTACGTCGCATCCTCATGTCCAACACAGGCGACGTGGGCACAAGGTAGGGGAGCAGTGCCCCACCCCAAGGCTGCAGCAGAAATCTCTGTCCCTGGATTTGCCCTGGACCAGACACTTGTTTTGCAAATGCAGCCACTTTTTATTTCTTTTTTTTTAATTGTTTTTATTTTGTCAATATACAATGTAGTTGATTATTGTGTTCCATCACCGAAACCTCCCTCCCTCCTCCCTCTCCCCCCTCCCACCCCACTTTTTATTTCTATCCTCTCCCTTCTCCATCCCTCCCCCTTCCCTCATGATGTCTTTAGTGGCCTCACCAGGGTGGTGACTGCTGCCAGGATTACTAAAATTAACTTGGTAGAGAACATTTGCTCAGTGCCTGTTCTATGCCCTTTATGTGGCTAATCTCATTTAATCCCAGCAACAGGTCTATGAGACCAGTACTACTACCAATCCATGTTATAGACAAGGGAACTGAGGTACAAAGCGATTAAGTAACTTCCTCAAATCATGTATGTAGCAAGAACTTACTATGTGCAGGTGCAATGCTGAGCATACTTACTTACAGTATCCCATTTAATTACCCCAGGATGCTCTAAGGTAATTAAATTAAACAACCAGATTGTTCCCATTTCACAGATGAAGTTGAGGCCCAAAGAGTTTAGGTGATTTGCCTGAGATCACACAGCCGAGAAGTGAAAGAGGTGGGATTAAACCCAGGTGTATCTACGACAGTTCTTCTTTCCAGGCTTGTCCCTCTCGCCGCTCAGGCATGCTGACAAAGCGATGCACACTGCGCACTGTGGGGGGCACCCTTCACACTGGCCTGCCCTGTCCATCCTCTGTCTCCTGCCTGCACTGAGGGCCTGACCACAGAGGGATGACCACACAGGTCCATCAGATTCCATTGCCACCAAGAACAGGCGCAACTCTCACATAAATTTGAGCTGAGAGGCAGTGCAGGGAACAGTTAAGGCCACCGCCTCAGGAAGGCTCCAGTTCTGGCCCAGCCACTTCCTAGCTGTGTGACCTTGGGCACACATGTATATGCGTGCCCTGATATGTCACTCATGGGTAATAAGATAAGATACAGCCATTTCCCATGCCTGGCTCAGCTCTGTGAGGGACCCACGTCAGCTCACCCAGGGGGTGACCTTGGCTCATGCTCCCCAACTGCTTCTGCTCTGTCTGGCAGATCTTTTTCCTCCCAAGTCCTAGGTGGTGCACAAGGGAGGTGAACCTAGCAGCTAAAGGAAAGTCTCTTGTTCTCAGTAGCATTGAGGATGCCCTAAGAATATAGTAAACTGTCTTCCTTGTCTTCTTTTTTCTTGGAAAAGGTTTAAATGGGATGTCAAAAAATTTGAGCCTCATTTCTCCATCAGCCCAGAAGAAGGCTATATCACCGCAGGCATGGAGGTTTCTTTTGAAGTGACCTACCATCCCACTGAGGTAGGAAAGGAGAGTCTCTATAAAAACATGCTCTGCTACATCCAGGGAGGCAGTCCTCTGTCCCTAACCCTTTCTGGAGTCTGCGTGGGACCACCAGCAGTCAAAGAGGTTAGTAGGTGCTGCCCAGGGATGGGCCAATACCAGGGGCAAGCCCAGCAAGTGAACTCGGCAGGGCCTTCCAGAGACGAGTGGCTCTTCTCAAGCAGTCCTCAGAGCCCGTGTCAGACACTCAGACCTGCTCCTGCCACCACAAGGACTCTGAACACACTGGTCCCACTGCTGGAATACTCTTTCTCCCCTGTTCATCTAGTTAATTCCTGTTCATTCTCCAGCTCTCAACTCAAGCATTACATTCCCAAGGAAGCCTGTTGCTTTAGTCCATTTCTGTTGTTTATAACACAATACCTGGAATGGGGGTGATTTATAAGAAAATGAGATCTATTGCTTACAGATTCAGAGGCTGGAAGTCCAGACTCCAGAGAACACATCTGGTAAAGGCTTTCTTTGGTGGTGGCTTCAGTAATGGCAGTGTATCACAGTGCTTAACTGTGGAGCAGAGAGAGAGAGAGCTCCCCATG